AAGACAATAGGGACTTCAAGCAAACCACGACGGCTACGGCAACGAGAAAGTGGGAAAACAATAGATCTAATTGGAAGAACAATAGCCCAGCACGTGCGTTTTAAAACTTTGTACATTTCTTAGCCGTCCTTTGCAAAACAACAACGTGAAATAACCAAAATTTGCATCGTCTGCGAAGCGAATCCGCGCCGGCAAATTATTTTAATTGACATTTGGAACTCAACGCTACTTTTATGCGTTATGTTCAGTTTGAGGTCTGGCGCCCTATGAGAAGGTAAACACATACAGCCATTTTCGAAATTCTAACTAAAAGTAGAAACTCATTTTTTAATCGACGTCTTCTGTGGTGTTGCCGTCCTGACTGCTTAAAGTCCCTATTGAAAAAATTATGCAACTTGGGCAACTTCGCACCCCACAACGCGATGGAATCGCTTTGAAATTTTGTGTACTAGCGAATGGTCCTTTTATCTTTCTGTAATTTTAAGTTCTTGTCGTTTTGTTACTTGTAAGTCCAAATAGTGGTCCATTGGAATGATGTACTTTGTATTCATTTTGCATAGGTAAAAAACAGGGTCAAATTTATAGGTCTATAACGGTCTGGCGTGTATATTTACACGTCAAAATGAACATTATCTTAAGATTTATCCTAGTTTAATTGCTTTAATTCTCTCTCTTAGTACTAGTCGTCATGCTTTCTTTTTCAAACGTGCCGTTTGTCATCCGCGTATTCTTTTCTCTTTTTCTTAGAAGAAATGCCTGAGAACAAGTATCCTAAAATTGAGCCAGAAGAAGTTTATATAGAGGCGAAGGTTAGTTTTTCTTCCTTAAATTTTAACGTAGTAGGGGGTTGCTGGGCAACGAGTCTGAGTATTGTAACTTGACAACTTTGTTCTATACATACCGAGATTTACACACTTAAAGATGCGAAGTAAACCTTCACTCTCATGCTAGTTGAAGAAGCCGTGAGCAAAAAAATGGCGCGTATCATTTTTTCACGTGGGGGAAAGCGATACGTCCGATCAGGAGCCGCGTTCCATTTTTTCTTCTCTTGTGAAGCATATCAAGGCGATTCTCTTTCAATCTTCCGGGAAAGTGTTTGGCTTTTTAAAATTGTGAAAATCCGCTCTCAGGGCTGTTTATTATGTGAAATTACTTAAAACAGAGAACTGAGGAACTTCTCTGGTGGATTATGTGGAATAAAATGAGTTAGAAAGCATGCAGAACAAAAACTCAAAGAGAACACGAAGTGGTGAGATTTGAAACTGTCCAGAGAATTTTTGCGATAGAAAGAACGAGGAAATTGAACATATGTCTTGCGGAGCTCATTCGCTCGGTTCGACGAAGAGAGAGGGAAGATTTTAAACCCTCGAGCTTAAGATGCTAAGTGTTAAATATTGCGAGGTATTTGTTTATCTTCACCTGCTGTCGATGTGTAGTATATCGTTTCTATCGGCAAGGCAATTTATATGGGTTACAGCCCTCATGATCGCTTTTCGAGATTTTAATTTGAATTTGTTGAGCTATAAATTGCCATGAAACGAGAAGTGAATCTCCTTATTTATACTATAAACATAATACACTATGGCTAGTCTATCCGTATGGTACTTACGCACTCGTCGGTTTGTCATCAGAAATCTCACTCGTTCGATTTCCGATACCAGGAACTCGTAAGTGTATGCCATATGGACAGACTTTCCATGAAGTATTCTGAAGGAAAATCCACTCCTTGACAAGGGAATTCCGTACTAAAATGCACGCGAAAACCGATATCACACGAATCGCGAAGTAATCAAGTGCAATTTAAAGCAGAATTCCCTCGTCAAGTGACGGATTTTCCTTGAATCGCATAATTGAATGAAAATTAGAAAGCGGCATTACTGGTAGTTGTTACGTTGTTACGCGAAACAATCACTTAACTCCGTTTTCAACTGGCAATTCCACGCTAAACACCTTGTTTCGTTGACAAATCTGAATGGGAGATGTACTCAGTGATGCAATTCTGTTTAATCTATTCGGCGAACTAATGAACTTGAAATTTGGATTTTATGGTCTAGAAAAAATGTAGTCACAAAAGAACAGGAAGATACCTTAAAAAATTCAAGAATTATTCACAAAAAAGTTGTTCTTTTAAATTTATACGCTCTATTGCGACCTTTAGTTACAAAAGATCATCTGTGCGATCCGTTAGAACAGCTTCAATATTGGTTTCGTCATTTTGGATACCTCGTTGGTTGCCTTTAAATTGAAGCCAGGTTCGGCTATTTACTTATTTGTCCAACGCGAGCTCCAACAGACTTAATTGAAAATGCCGCCACAACCGTCAGCTGAAGAAAGAATTGACAGCCCCTAGTTGTGATCTGTGGGAATTTTCTTTTTTATAGAACATGTAAAAGAATGATTTTTCTTTTAATTCGATGATAAGAATTCCTTTTCAATTTTCAGTGTCTTAATTTCGGCTTGGCTCAACCTCGTCCTGTCATTGTTTATTAGAATACGCTACACTTTCGACAAGAGATTATGAACGGTTTGTAATCTCTTGCCTGTGAATGATGCAATCAGTAGGACGAAGAGGATCTCAGTAAAGCCGTAAAACGGCCTGAAGTATTAACCATTAGGCTAAGAAATTGATAAACTTCAACCATTAGTGATAAAATTCGGCAAGTTTTAAGCTTTTTTGGGGCGTAAAAAATAGTTCACCGTAAACGTTTAATTCGTTCTAAGATGTGCCAGTTTGAAGGTGGCAACGAAGTAGACTGTCCTTTCCTGTTGCTTATGCGTTTACCACTGTTACATTTCTTATCCTGATACCGAAAACAAAGAAACTTTACCCAGGTCCCGCTGTCATTTTCCACGCGCGAGATACATTGACAGATAGCAGACAGCGATTACTCCTTTTAGTTTGTTTGTAATGGCGCTTCTGAAAGAAATAGCAATTACTGCAGTTTGGAACGAACAGGGGAGGAGAAGCTAATCGAAAGGTATAAGGCGAGGATAAAAACCGGGAAGGAATACCGCACCATGTCATCTTTGTTTTCCAACAGTCGTTTTTTCTTGGGCTTAATGACCTCGACAAGACGTTTTGTATGGGGTCATATGACCTGAAACTATACTGTCTAGCTAGAGTCAACGGAAAAAAAGAAAACCATGCGATTTCAACGCAAAAGGCAACTCGATTTAGAATTACCCCTCTTAAATCATGCTGATGGTAAAAGCGAGTAAACGGTAAGAATTCTAAGTAGTGACTTCAGTGCAGTAATATGCTTGTTATTTCAATGTAACTGCACGTACATGCTGCCAGGTAGCGCATTAAGTTAACCAGTGCAGGTCTGGGTCACTAGAGTAGCAGATAAATTATCTCCATTGGATTAGCATATTCAGTGTATAATGTAAAGTTATTCCCCGAATAGTATGCTTTTTTAAAGCTAGATGGATACATTTTAACGCCGATATGACCAGCTCGCTTAGCACGTAATAATGTAAACGAAAACCATTAGGCGCTTCTGACTGGCTGAAAACGAGTGTATTTTTTCATGTGACACGAGTGCAAATTGGCGACACAAGTGCAAAGCTGTAACACGAGGGGAAACTACAAATAGCGCGTTGTAAAAATTTCGTCTGTTTTGACTTTCTTTGATACTTTGTGTATTAAAGTATTGTAAATAATAACATGATTTCGAGTGCAATTTGGTTTAAACAAGCACTGGCTCCTGCAATTTTGTTGTCTTTACAGTTTCGAATCTTGGCAGTTCGAAGTCACTGTTCCATAAATTATACTGAGTATTCTTTATATTAAATAAGTCAGAAATATTCTCCGGTACGAGACATTGCCACTTTAAACATCAAAGTGACAATGTCTTGTAGGCGCCGATTGTTCAACGTCGGTGGTTTGGCGCGACTTAGCAGTTCTTGATAGGACGCTGATCTAGTTTTGTACACCGCCCTAAGTGCTCGCTCCTGAATCCGCTCAAGCTTTCTCCTATTCGATGCGTTACAAAAGTGCCTTACTAGATGGCAGTAGATTAGATGGGGCAGAACTGAAGACCTGTAAAATGATAGTTAAGCATTACAGGGTATCAAATTGCGTAGCCGCACTAGGACCCCTACTATTTGACTGGCCTTAGAGCATAGATCACTGATATGACTAGTAAAACTCAATTTTTCATCGATTTGAACTCCTAAAAGCCGTATTTCCCGCATTATTCTTGCGAGAGGTTTTGAAAGGTTTGAAGAAACTTCTTGAGGATGAAGCCCAACAAGGCGGAGGCAAGCGACCGAACTGGTGAGCTATGAAACGAAATAGGAACAAGTAAAAAGGAAAACAGCGATTTATTTTTGTCTGTGTATTAGTAGTTGTCATCCGTCCGTTAGGCCCTTATCGATTGTGCTCAGTCGTTTTGGAAAATTATGCTTAATTTTTTTAGGGTATGGTTAGATATATAAAATACAAGACTTGTCCAAAAACCAAAACTATTTATTTATTGTCAATAAAGCATCATATTTTCTTTATCTTGAGGTACGCACTTGCTCTGATAAAACACAACTAACTACTGCACTTCACTCCAGACTAGAAGCAGTGACTTAATATGTCAAAATGTACGATGTTGGCGGGAACTGGGACCAATGCAATCTTTACTTCCGGTGTGCCCAGTCCTCTAGACGGCCAACGACGCAGTATTGCGGTAACCTTCCCCTTCCCTAGACGAATAAAAATTGACTGAGACATGGACAGAACTTGAAAATATCCATTCTTTCAGATCAAGCAAGTCGCGACTCCGGTAATGTTCCCTTTGAAAAACTAATAGGGTGCCGACTATGCTAGCAGTGCTAAGTTTAAAAAAGTGAAAAAAGTTATTCTCATTTTTCTAAGTTATGCTGTTAAGTACTCGGTTCTGTAAAAAACAAAGTTCTTTATTCGCACACACACTAATCCAAGTAATAAAATGTAGAGCCAAAATTCACGAGTTTTATACCTGCTAGCATTTTGCGTATAATTACGGTCACACTACAATGTACACTAATTAGCAACGATTCTGTTGTGAGAAAACGTAAATGGCGGCGTGAATTGCTGATTATGCAGTGGTCCAAAAGTTATGCTAGCAAAATCCATGAGGGCCAACCGACCGTGTGCGGAAGACGATGGAGTAGCATCCGTTGGGTTTGTTTCTGGCACCTTCGCGAGTGACTGTAGAGTCCGACGCACGAATGGCAGCCCCTTCTGTAGGAGTCGCATGTGAAAGCAGACGCTTGTTGAGGTTGCTGATAAAATGCCTTCCTCCTGCCTCTCTTTACAGCGAGATATTCAGTCCTCGTCTTCTCAACTTCAAGTACACCCTGTCTGAGAGCGATGTGCCAAGCCGAGCGATCTTTTGCTTATGTTTCCCACGTGTATTTGTTGCTGTTGCGGGCTTTCAATTCTCGTTTGCACACATCTTTGTAGCGTAAGCGTGGACCCCTGTTGGTGTTAAGCCATCTACCTGCTCACCATAGAGAAGATCTTTGAATAGGCAGCCTGGATAAGTTCTCTTCAAGTGGCCGATTCGTTGGAGGCGCCTCTCAAGGAGGATGGAGTACCTGCTGTTCGTGTTAGCGCGTTCTTAGTTTCTGTGTTTGACACTTTAATCCTCGAATATCCCCCAGCGAAAATATTTGATGGATCGTAATGGGCGACATTATTGGCTAGAAATCACATGATTCTTCTCTTGCAACGACTTAAAGACTTACTCGTGCTGATTTATCCCAAATTGCTTTCGAAATCACGTGATTAACTACACTTATGGTACTGTAATTACGTTTCTTTTCGTTCCCGAAATTAACGCCGTAGTATATGTGTTTTAGAACCATTAAATTAATTATTAACTTTTGAAAATCATTGAAATTAACTATTAACATTACTCTTTACCATAGCGGAATGAAATTGATCGATATCTGTTAAATGACGAAGATTTTAACCTAAATTTGTAAAAGCTTTCACCCCACTGAGACCCTCGACTTACAACTGAAAGAACTTTTAGGTTGAAAAGAATTATCCGACTAAAAGCCTTTTTTCTGCAACTTGAGGATTTTTCTTTCAGATGCCGCCATTTGTTATCATTCTGAAAGAAATTCTAAAAGAAGACTCAGGAACTGCTCGATTTAAAGAGTTAAGAGATGTGCAATTACAGAAGGTTGCTGACAACGAATTTTTTGGACGAGAACTTCCAAGTATGTATCTTTGTGTGCTTTATAGTTCAGAAGTTTCAAAGTTGGAAGGATACACCATCCAACTTATTCTATTTACAGTCATTGGACATTGCTGATCCTAACAGTATGCAGAACGCGTGTTACTAGCTCGACTCCTTGATTGTTATTTCTACACTATAAATTTTTTACTAGATTGATAGAAATAAGGTTTTGTACGTTTATGTCAAATAGAGCCTGCAAGAGAAGGCCGTGTCAAAGTCACCATCGAATCACAAAATGGAGACGTCCTCGGGGAAACGGAAATTTTGTACAAAGACGCAATTGAAGAAAAGTGGAAAGCAATCGTCACTATCCAAGATGGGATGCGTACGATCTTAAAGGCTTCAAATCCATGTGAAAGTGGCAGTGCTGAAAGGAGCATTTGTGACACTCCGCATACAGTATGCGCCGGTAAGTTAACTAGTTCCGACATTTGACAGATTTACCATAATTTTACCATATTGGAGAAGTTAAGCTTAACGTTTACGGAAAACGGGAAACGGCTAGTTGACGTTTCAAAACTCGACGAATGTGCGTGTGTTTTGGTAATCGAATATGCACATTTTTGTGTTTCTTTCGGCGGTGAACAGAAACGTGAAAACTATCCTGCAAAAACCAAGACTTTGCACAAGCCTCCGGACAAATCGTCCTACTTAAACGCCTGTCACCATTGCAGCACGAAATTGCTTGATTTGTTGAAACCTGTAATCAGCAACGCGTTTCAAAAACCAAGAACATTCCGGAGGTCACGACGTTTTTTCATTTTTCCCATTGATTTCAAGATAAAGTCTTTTAGCAAAGCTGTTTTACCCCAAGGAAAGAGTGAGGACGCTTCGCCTTGAAGCACGCGATTGCTAATGCTTAACCACATCATAAATTAATACACTTTTTACTCACGTTGGCCATTAAAGTGAAAGCTTCTCCCTTCGCGTTGAAACCGGTGAGAGCAAACAGCAAACGTCCGAAATGGCTGGAGAATTGGTCACGTGGACATAGTTCTCATATACGTCTATTTATCTAGTAATATTACATTGAAAATTAAATTTTCGAGTGGAGTCCAATTCGGTATGTTATTATATCAGTGACTAATAAAGTGAGACAACCACGCAGTTCGAGTCCGATTTATTAATCACAACTGTATAGAGACGACTACATATCTAATGATACAGAACGAATGCACACGTAATTTATTTTCCAGGTGGACCCCTATTTAGATATAAACTCGCAGATACGTGTGTGTGATTGTGTGATTCTAGTGAAAACAAATAAGTTAATACAAATATTTAAGTGTAAATATAAAAACAACCAGAACTACGACGAAAAACTAAATGAAAGAGAGGTGCACTTGCCATTTATGGCGTAACCTGCTGGTCCAGTAGTAAAAAACTCTTGATGAAGAACAACACGGCGCTAGCCGATCAGACTGACTTTTTCCCTGGGTCCCTTTCCCTCCAAACCTCCCCC